TATATATATATATATATGGCATAACGTAAATAGACGTTATTCTACCACGTTACTTCTTAACTCAGTTAGGAATTTAGGATAAAAAATAAACTACACTAATAGAGTGATAAAAATATGTCAACCAACAAACAAAAGATTATAATTTATAACATAATTATCTTATTATATCTTAATTTTTTGCATCACCTTTTACCTTCCACGTGCCTTTTCCTCAAACTAACATACTAACGTGTCTCTCATTTGTTGTCATGGCGCAAAACATGCCCTTATCATTCATAAAATTGAAGCTTACTATTAACTATTGTCTATTGGATTATTATAATCTTCAGAAACAATATAATTGACACACACTCTTAATCACTTTCCACAAAAGTTGTATGGTCGATGAAAGTTAAACAGTTTAGAGTTTAGAAAGTTGAAACTTAAGTTCATTATTCAACCTATGAACTGATAGAAATTGCAACACATCATTTAATGCTATGTTTCAACAAGAAGAAAAATTAATGTAGTTTCGGTTACAAGCATCCCATATAAGAGGATTTGACTATTTAAACAAACGCCATGTTGAGCAATACCATCATCCAACCAGTAAAAACCTCCAAATTCATTCACTTTTGTCAAGTCTCATGGCAAGGCCCAACAATTATCTTATTTTGGTGGCTTTCATTTTGGCCACCATAATAAATACAGTATCATCTACCAAGGTAGAGTCATGGGCTGAATGTGCAGGACACATTGGACCGCACTGTGGAAGTGAAGTTGTTGGCAAACTGATAGGTCATAATGATAGCATAATTTCAACAAATTGTTGTTATAAGCTTGCACAAGCGGGTTATAATTGTCACTTGAAACTCACTATATATGTTCTTGTAAGTAGACAAGATCTTAAAAATGCAAATTGGACTGAAGTTATTGCAAAAACTGATGAAGTCTACCACAAGTGTGATCTACTTACTAGATCAGGAAGTCCAACATTTCAGGCTAAGTGCACAGAAAGTTTAGGGTCTCGTTGTGGAGCAGAAATATATAACAAGCTAATATATGACAAGAACATCACAAACCATTGTTGTGAAAGGCTTGTCAAAACGGGTGAAGCATGCCATGTTAGTATGGCCAAGGCTTTGATTCGCAGCCCACAGATGAGGAATGTCGATGCAATTCAACTTTTGAAAAAGAATAAGAAAATATTTGATCATTGTCTTCATGTTGACAAGAAATCTTACTGTCAAAATAGTTAAAGAAATAGTGAGAATAATCTTCAAATGTGGAAGATCCGTATGCTCTAGTGGTCTTTGTCTCGTGATTACGGAGTAGTGATTGATTATATGTAATAAGATGTTTACTTTCAACTTTTAAAGATTTTGATTTTCTTTTCTTGTGATATCAGATGAATCTTTGAAGTGAATCAAAGGCATGCATGTTCTTCTGTCTTAGGTAAGATCTACTTTAATAATCATGAAAAGAAAGGTGGTTAAATTGTGTTTCTGATTTTTTTTTTCTTTCATAAAAACCTTTTTAAAAATGTTAAAAACATATAAAGTTCTTCCCTAATTTTTCTTCCCATTAACCTTAATCAGTGCTTCCAAAGGAACTCCTCATATATGTGTGGCATAAACTCATTATTAAATTCGCAGGAAAAGAAAAAAAGTCATTCCTAGATATATTGAAATTTTGTCACATTTGAACTTCCGGCTAAAACATTTTTAGTTTAAGTTTTGTAAAAGACTATCAAGATTCGTCTTTCTCTAAATGTGATAAAAATAAATTAAGTACAAAAGAATTTTATACAAAGAGAATGTGAATTTGAGAAATTTGTGTTGTTCTTTTCCTTTTTTTAATCAAGCTTCTTATTTATAGATAACTTTGAAGATAATTATAATAAATTCTTCAAGAAACTCTTGTAGATAAATTCTTCAAGAAACTCTTGTAGAGTCTTTTTTCTTATGAATGTATTTATTTGTGTTATAAATGTAGACATTAAAAGAGTTTCACTAAAATAATCTTTTTTTTATCTAATCTAAGTGACTTTAATCGTATTGGATTGAAAATCAAAATTCATTAATCAACTTGTATATAAACAAATTTTAACGAGCTCAATTAAATTTGGTTCAAATGTTTAAAAAACCTTATCTGAAGTAATTAAAATGGTTTGAGTCAATTTCGATCTCTCAAATTTAAAACTCATGTTTTTAATCTCGAAATACCAAAATTTATTATTTTGATCCCTCAAATTAAATTCTTTTTAATTCTTGTAATTTCAAAAATAAAAATAGTTTTAGTCTTTCAAGACACTAATATTATAATTAATAATAACAGATTGAGACAATTATGTAATATCAAGTAGTTTGATATGATATTTCATTAATAAGAACACTAATAAAATTTTGTGCGATAAATTTAGTAATAAGTGAGATTTATTTTATAAATTTCCTAAATATTTTGAATAGATAGACTAAAAGAATATTTTTTTTTATATTTTAATGACTAAAAACAAAGCCTTAAATTTGAGAGAAAAAAAAATAGAGAAATTAAAACAATATTTTTTAAAATTACAAAGACTATAAACATAAGTTTTAAATTCGAAAAAATCAAAAAAAATATATCTCGTAAGTTTGATAGACTAAAATTGTGGAAGTGACTATAAAATCTTTTTGACTTATTTAATTATATTTCATGAAAAAACTTACCAAAAAAAACTTTATTTTTTAACTAATTTCTAGAAATTTCACTGTCAAGCTTACAAATAAATTCTAAGAAAAGCTTATGTTAGGAGTAGTTTTGTTGCAATGATAAAATATAGTTTAAGTAGTCTATGTGTCATTAAACAAAAATGCAGCTAAAGTAGTTTCTCTACATCCCAAGAACAACTTTGCATACTTCAAAAGGCTTTTTTTTTTCTCCTTTTTATTTTACTGCTCATCTAGTAATTGAACACTTCTGTATTTACATCCATACTTAGATCATAGATGAACACATCAAAATGTAAGCCACATGAGTTAACAATACACTGTTTCAACACAAATTGATTCGATACAAAAGGAGGAAGGGGAGAGAACATCTTTAAATGGTCAAGTTTAAGGCCTGATTGTTCTAAGAATTCCTCTACACCCTTGCCTCTTACAAACTTCTCCATCTGGCTTTTAGGTCATTTGGTTCCAGAGCAGGAACATAGAACTTTCATCTAGTTACATGCATGCCATACTTAATCATTAAATAACAAGATTCATATCATCATATTCATAATATGTACTAAAATCTACTATCCACATGTTGGCACAATCTATAATAGATCCCTAACAGCATGAACACTCAGCTGCACATAAGTGCCTATACAGATTGAAATAAAATGTCTTCAAAATAAGAGAAGACACAAAATGATACAACATAGGAGGAAGATAGAAAGTCTGTTCAGAGACTTGTCAATCTGCATTTCCTGCCTTCTCATTCTAGGGCTGCCACTTCTATTATGAGGGTATGCAAACATATTTGCATCTGAGACCCCAAAAATCCTAGTCAAGACCATCTCACCAAACATAACAATTATAGGATTAAAGAAACTAGTCATAGCAGCACCTCCAAGATAAGGTAATCCATTGGTGCCATAGCTTCCATAGACATGAGGGATGTACTGCTGATAATGAAATGGTCTTGACTGTGCCTGGAAATAACTTGGATGCAGTTGCTGGCCAGAGTGCGAAATCGGTGTGCGAGCAGAAGCTAACATAGCATTCAAGTTGTAAGGGGGTGGCCTGTGAGGTATTCCCACACTCATCTTCTGGAGTTTCTTTTCTTCGGATTCTGAATTCGATTTTCCGTAGAGGGGAACTAATGAAGTGTGGGAGATCTCAGCTTTACAAACTGGGCATGTCTGCTGCTGATCTGGTTCAACAGAGGAGCTTTGCACATCAAGCCACTTGTATATGCATGGCCAGCAGTAAAGGTGACCACAGAAAGTGACCACAGGATCATGTGCTGATTCCAAGCAAATGTTGCAATCAAAGCAATCATTTTTACTATTAGAGATTGTTGGCTCTGCTGAAATGGATTTTGATTTTTGCTTCGGTGAGACTTCCCCATTGGAGTCACAGTATTTAGATTCCATGGATTTCCAGAATATACACCCTATTATAGATTTCAAAAGTGTCAGAAAGATGCAATTATTTTAAACAGAACAGATCTAGAAGTACAACCACTGAGATCAGAGATCCAGATGACAACAAAAACTAAAAAAAGCAGACTATTGATAAATTACCCCCAATGAGCATGTCACAAAAGCTATTCAATATTTGCATTTAACCTAGATATTTGAGAAAATGCTCCAATTTGAAGTAATAACTGGGGATCACAAATCATACCTATTCACTTACAGGAGCCAACGATTTCTAAAAAGTCAAAATCACATCCATATTACCAGATTTGGGTTATGCAGCAAGTATTCACAATATTGATTTGTTAAGAAATGATGATTTCTATGCTATGATTGAAAATTATGCTAAAGTCCATATGTCCCGTATATTGAAAATTAACTACAACATTTCATCACTGTAATCCACAGAACAAATTTAGGTATCCATAGATCCTTGCCCAACAACTTGAAAGATCCAGTCCGTCATTTTGTAATCATCAAAAATCCTTAGATAAAAAAAAACACCATTTATTAACAATTTCAGTAAAGAACTTGCTCTAGAGATGACCCTGTACCAACCTTAATTTCCATATATCAACCCCAACAAAAAAGCTTGTATATTTATTAACAATTTCATGATTATTCATTACCAATTCCCAGTTTCCCATCCCAATAACCCAAATTAAAAAAAAAAAAAAAAAAATCAGATTCAATCCTCAAAAGCTAAGGACATTAAAAGAAACCTTAAAACGCTACCCCAGATGAAAATTCAACGCATGCAAACCATTTCACAGGGACATCAAGAAACAACAGCAAATACCCATGTGCAAAATTCCAATTTTCATCCCAAAAAAATAAGAAAAAACAAAATTTTCATTATTACATGTCACTGCAAGAACAGCAACAAACCAATAGATAACAAAAAAAAAAGCACCTTTACAAGGAAAGAAATTTCAGATGCCGCTGAAGAACACAATGGATGCAAGGAATGAAGAGCAGAAAAACTGTAGCTTGGAAGGGAAAGAAAACGAAAGTAGAAGAAATGGGTTATGGGTGTAAGGGAATTGAATTGAATTGTGAAAGAAACAATGGATGAGAGTGAAATGTGGAAGAAGATTATTGTGTTGCGGAAGAGAATGGGTGTGAATGTGGTGGTGCCACCCATGTATATATTCATTTTTTTTACTAACTATTTAATGGATAAAAATAAGTGACTTTGTTTTGCTAATTAGCTTCTAACAAAAATATATTTTCCATTAATATCTTATTAATTATCCTCTTAAATATAACGTCATTTAATTATTCAAAAACCAGTGGTATTAAGACACGTCTATGGGCGGTGAAGCATTCTAGAATTTGACTTTCAAATGTTGAAAGGTCTAATTTCAATAACACCTGTTTTGAAAACACTTTTTGGTATACATGTATATTATTAATTAAGGTTAAAATATATTTTTAAACTATATAATTTTGATTTTATCTTTTAGTTTTTATAACTTAAAATAGGTATTTTATAATTTTTATATTTATATTTTTTTAACTTTTTTTATTTATTTTTACCATTAATTATTTTATAATATTATTTTTGTGAGTGATATGAGTTTATTAAATACAGGAAAGGCTAATGTATTTGATTTTTTGAACGACTATTATTTAGTGGTTTATTGTGCAATTACGAGCAATTTGATTGTTTATCTAGATTATATTCAGTCATAGTAAATATTGATTATCCACAAAATTATACAATGGTATATTGTGCAGTCATTAGTAATTTGACTATGTATTTGAATCACATTTAATTATAGTAAATATTGATTGTTCATAAAATCATATAATGATGTATTGTATCGTCATAAACAATTTGATCATTCATGTGGATCATATTCAATCATAGTAAATATTAATTATCCATAAAACCATCCAAAATCTTCATTAAGTAACATATCGTCGTCCAAAAAATAAAATACATCACTCTCACATATAATTAATAAACTCATGTCGCTCACGTTAAAACCTTTATAAAAAAATTAACAGTAGGAGTAAAAAAGATTTAAAAATATAACTACAGAAACTAAAGTAAAATTCTAAGAATTAAAAAAATAACCATTAATTAATTAATTAAAAGTGCATTAATGAATGGATTTTATGTTATCAAAGTATTTATTTATTATTAAATGAAGATTAACTATATGATTTTAGTCCATCTATTATATATATATATATCCGTTTATTCTAGGAGTAAGTTTATCTAAACTTACTCTGTTCAATAATTTATGTTTTACGTTAAATTTTAAAGATCCGATCGTTCAATTTAAAGTTCTTAATGCATAGATCAAATTTATAAATTTTAAATTTTTTTGAAAACTATTTAATATTTCATTATATATATAGAGAGAGAGGGGGGAGAGAGATTGAGAGAGAGGGGGGGGAGATTGAGAGAGAGAGGGAGAGAGAAAGAAAGATAGGAAAAATCTATTTACTCCAAAAGTAACTAAGTAAGTCTAACTATATTTACTTTACTCAATAACTCATGTTCTACATCAAATTTTAATAATTCAACCATTAAATTAAAAGTTCTTAATATATAGATCAAGCCTGCAAATTTTTAAAAATTTTGAAAATTATTTTGTACTTTATTATAAAAATTCATATCAATGTATAAAATACTTATATGAATACTTGTTAATTTGAATTAAAAAAAATGGAGTATCAACTAGTTTCAAATTTTTTTTAAACATTCGTAAGTTAATCTATACATTAAGAACTTTTAATTTAACAATTAGATTATTAAAATTTGATATAAAAGTAACTCTTGATAGAGTTACTCCACTCAATAATTCATGATATATATTGAATTTCAACAATCGAACCATTAAATTAAAAGTTCATATTGTATAGATCAAGTATGATTTTTTTAAAAAATTAATAATTATTTGATACTTCATTTCATTAAGTCAAATTAATGGATAATCATAAAATATATTTCTTGTGTTGATTTGAATTTATATAACAAAGCATTCAATTTTTTTAAAAAAATTTTAAATTTGATTTATTCATTTAGAACTTTTAATTTAACGGTTAGATTGTTGAAATTCAACATATATCATGAGTTATTGAGTGGTGTAACTTTACCAAAAGTTACTTTTAGAGTAATTTGATCTGTTATATATATGTGTGTGTATGTGGGCTAAATTATACTTTTGATATTTTATCTTATTTGTTAGATTCATCTTGATCCTTTATATTTTAAAATGTTTTTTTTTAGTTATTTATCTTTTAAATTTGGTCATTTTAAAATAATGATTGTTTTTAATTTTGAGACATGATTTTTGTTCATATTTTGACTGATTCAAGATCTGAAATTTGTTTCATTAGATTCACTTATATGAAAATTATTAAATGCAACTAAAGTTAAAATAAAATAGTATTATAAACATGGTAAAAATTGCATAAAAATAAGTTCAAAAGTCAATTAAAAATTCAAAAACTATAATTTCATACTATTTTCTAGTTGTTTATGAAACATATTTTTCACACGATTTTTGTTATGTTTATAGCTCTTATGGATTCAAATATCAATTGAATGTTATAATTTTTTATGTAATTGAATTTATTGTTATAAGGTTATGTCTTGAATGAGTCAAAAAATTGATTCAAAATTATGTCACAAATTAAAAATTATTACTTTTTGAAAATAATCAAATTAATGAAAATATGAAAGATAAAATACTAAAATAAATATTTTAAAATATAAATAATAAAAATAAATCTAACATATAAGATGAAAGATCAAAAGTATAATTTAGCCTATATATGTGTGTATACACACACACGCACACACACACACACATATATATATATATGTGTGTGTGTGTGTATGTATT